AAAACCTGGTATGGGCAAGTTCTTTTTTTTTTTTTAATTATTTATTTATTTTTATTTATTACATTTATTTATTGTATGTGTGTGTGGCCAGCTCAGCCCACCAGGGGGCGGGGCTGGCTGGCATGTGGTGCTGGGGGATTGAACCGCGGTCCCTGTGCTTTGCCAAGCTTGTTTCAGGTGGGTGCTTTAGACCACTGAGCCATCTCTCCAGCCCCTGGGCAAGTTCTTATAACCCAAAGAAAGCTGGTATAGCTATTCTTGTCACAGTGATGTGACCATGGTTACAGAAACTCCCCAGGGCCACCCAGCTGCTCCAAGACTGACCTGAACCTTGAACTTTCTGGTATTCTCTCCACTGGATAAAGCACTTAGCTTCACTCCCTGCAGCACCCTGGCCTGTTGAACACCTGGGAACCCTGGCCTGGAGGGACAGGACAGGAGCACAGGCTCAGGGGAGCACAAGGATGATGTATCCCCATCTGTGGTCACCAGGCTGCAGAGATAGGCTTTGGGCAAAGGAAGCCTGATCCACTGTGGGCCAGAATAGCTTAGACAGAGCTGGGGGACCACAGCCAGTTGGCCAAAAGGCAAGTGAGATCACAGTGGACAAGCTGGCCCAGGCCAGGGCCCTATGTGGATCTTCATACACAGATGGCAGGAAGGAGGGGTCAGGGATGCTACTGTTCAAACCCCCAGGCCTTAGGTCCATTCCAGGACTCAGAGTTAGACTTTGGCTGGAGGAACTGAGGTTGGCCTCTGCATTTCAAGGGGTTCGTGACCAGCAGGGGCAAAGGTCCACCTGACCCCAGCACCCAGGACTCATACACCAAGACTATCCTATCTATTACAGCACCACAGTGGGAGTTTCAATCCTGGTGCCACCTGTAGCTGGCCTGTGTGTCATCTGGGGCGCATCACTGAATGTTCTCAGTCTGTTTCCTCCTCTGAAGGGCAGTGGCTTCCTCACAGCTGCAGCTGCTGACCCTGAGCAGGCTCGCTGACAGGCAGTCCAGCAGGAAGTCCTAACTAGCCAGTCCACCTTCTAACCTAAGCTGGGGCTGCCACTCCTCTGCGGATAGAAATTCTGTGGGGCACACTGAGGGAGTTACAGCTCAGCTCAGTCAGTCACAGTCACAGTGGTAATGAGCACAGTGGCCAGGCAGGCTCCTAAGCATGCCCTCTGCCGCTCCCAAGGAAAGGCATGGGAACACCCCACTCCTAAGCACCACCATGACTGCATGGCCCTGGGAACCAAGGGACCAGCCCTGTAGGCCCCAGATGCCCTGTGGAATACCCCTTATCAGTTATACAGGCAGGACAGTACTCAGGAGCAAACACTGTCCCCACAGGCCACATTTTTCTGCTGCCACAGGAGAATGTTATCTGTCAAGTCACTCAGATCAGCATACTGATACCTGCAAAGGAGACCCTTCTTTCCTAAATTCTCAGAGGTCCTCAGCAGACCCTGGGCAGCATCTAGATTGCGCCTGGCCTGCACCAGCCCCACCTTATCTTTCCCGGCAGTATTTCCTACACACATTAGGGATCATGGAGGAAAAGGGAAAAAAATTCAGGAAGGGCTAAGCAGACAGGGCTGGAGATGGAATCAAATGTCATTAGTAACACTAACACACAAGTGGACTCTGCAGGGGTGTTCTGTTTTTGCCACTTGCCCCGATCCCAAGATCTATGTTCCCTGTTGGGGCTGTCTTTCTGCAAAGGAAACACCTGCTTTCCATGTCACCAGCCAAGGGAACCTGGAACACACTGCTCTGTTCGGACTTCCTCTGCTGCACCGGGCCACACAGAACTGTGTGTGACCTGTAGGTAGGGTCTCTGAGAGGAAGTCTGTTCCTCTCATGTCTACCAGGCAGTGACCACCCTGGAGTCCACAGCCTGCACCTCTAAGAGGTACCAAGGAATGGTCTTTTTCCTGATGGAAACACCTCACTCCAAACCAAGCACAGTACTACACGCCTATAGTCCTAGCAACTCTGGAGGCTCAGGTAGTAGAATCATGAGTTCAAAGCCAAACTGGGCAACTCAAGGTTGGGATATATATTTCAATGATAAGATAGTTGCCTAGCATATATAAAGCCCTGGATTCAATCCCTAGAACCACAAAAACAAACACTCCCACCCCTAACACTTAGTAAGATACATTAAAACCAGACTCTTTTGTTGAAAATGGTGGCCAATGCCTATAATCCCAGCATTCAGGAGACTGAGGCAGGAGGGTCACTTTGAGGCCATCCTGAACTACACAACAAGATTCTTGCCTAGGGCTAGGGAGATGGCTCAGTAGAATAAGCACTTCCCTGGCAAGCGCAAGGGCCTGACTTCAATCCCGGGTTCCGCAAAAAAAAAAAAAAAGACTTATCTAAAAAAGCCAAAAAGAAAACTAAGTGAATTTGAATTAATAAAAATAAAAACAGTGGTAGGGATATAGCGCAGTAGCACAGTATCTGCCTAGCAAGTGCAAGGTCCTAAGTTCTGTTCCTAGTACTTAAGTAAGTAAATAAAAAAAATAAATACCTACATACACACAGTATCTTTTGGTTAGTTGTTTTTTTGGCGGAACCAGGAATTGAACTCAGGCCCACTGAGCCATCTCCCCAGTCCCCACATAGGATCTTCAGAGATATGGAGAAAAGGTCTGAGCTCCCTATTCCCCAGCAAAAGCCCTCCTCTAATCAGAGCGACATGGTGACCTCTCAGCACGATTCTCCCAGGATGTGGCAAGGTAAGCCCTCTGTGGACACAGGGAACATGCGTGCAGGGCTCCATCTTCCTTACAGGTAGAGCAGCACTAAGCACAGGGTCTTGGCATCCCCTGCTGGCCTGTTCCTCATGTGTCAGGGTACCTGAGGGCCAGCACTGCCCGGAATCTTGGTGTTTTCCTGCCCCCAACTCACTGCCAAGGTGACAGAAGCATTACTTTGTTACCTTGTCCCAGAGAGATCAAGTTTAGACCCTGCCACATCTTTTTCTCAACAGGAAACAAAGCAGGGAGGGATGCACCCAGCAGCAGAGCCAGCAATCCCAATAGACACAGTCCAAGATGCTGAGCCTACAAAGCTCTGAAGAATGAGGCAAACAACAGAGCAGGGGAACCCCAGACACAAGGAAAATGGTTACTGCTGAGTTCCTTTTCATGAGTCAATAGCAGCGCCAAGAACCCCAAACCTTTTCCCTCTAATGCCTTCACTCAGGCCTCAAATGTTACACAGCAGTGGCACTCTGGCAAGATAAGCCTCTTTTGATGAGCAATTGTTCCTTATCCAAGGCTGCTGGGGCCCCAGTGTCTCTTTGCTGGCTGCTATAGGCCTGATAGGAAAGCCAGGATTCCTCGCTTACTGTTGGCAACACTTTAAAGAGTAACTTATTTATACTGTCTGGCCTTGCATTGGCAATTAACAGAACATTGGCTTAGCAAGCATTTTTTTTTTTAAAAAACACCAGGTAGTAACAACAATAGCAATAAGAAAAAAGAAAATTGGGGGCCAGCTAGATAGCTCAGTGGGTTAAAGCACCTGCTTAGGCAGACACAGGAACTGGGGTTCGATCACCAGTGTGCCCTGATGGCCCCACCCCAGGGACACGCTGAAATGACGACTGAGACTGGGCATAGTGAGGAGCATCTGTAATCCCAGTGCTTGGGAGGCTGAAAACAAAGAGGATCACTACCAGTCCGAGCTGTGTAGTAAGACTCTGTTCTAAAAAAAAATTAAAAAAAAAGAAAAAGAAAAAAGAAAACTGGCTCTGGCTTTGTTAGAAGGGGTCCTCAAATCTGCTTTCTTGAATTCTCAGGACTCTCACTGGTACTGGGGGTAGGAGAACCTAAAAGCCTTAAGTAGCAGCTTTCAGTCCTGAGTGGAGGCAGACTTTGTGTGCTCTAACTTAGCATGCCATACTGGCCAGGGTCTACAGCCCAGAAAGAGAGTAGGAGTTGGGCACAGCATCACACACCTATGATACCAACATTCTGGGAGCCTGGGGCAGGAGAATCACAAGTTCAAACCCACTCAGTCTCAAAATAAAAAGTTAAGCAAAAAGTTGGTGAGACAGCTCAGCCCAAAGGTTCTGAATTAAATCTCTAGTATTGAGAGACAGGGAAGGAAAGGGGGGGGGGGGGGGAGAGAGACACACACACACACAGAGGCCCAACACTTTTATAGCTATAGAACCCCAAATCCCAGACTTCCGGTTTCAGCTTCAAGGTTTCCTATGACAGGGCAGTCCAGAGGGCAAGGGACATAGGAAGATGGACAAGTTAATGATAAGTGAACCCAGCCCCTGGTCCTCGGCCTCTCCTTGAGGCTGAGGCTATTTTCTTTTCTTTTTGTAGCTAAGGTCTCCATTTGCCCCAAGAGGGACTCAGGCCCTGCCTTTTATAGCCTGGGATCACTTGGAATCAGATTTTCAAAAAGTACTACAGGGCTGGGAGTATAGTTCAGCAGCACAGCACCTGCCTAGTAAGCGCAAAGTCCTGAGTTCGATTCCTGGTACCAAGGTGGGGGGTACACTGCAAAACCTGAAGACTCGACACAGCTGGCATGGGACCCGGAGCACTAGTGTGCAGCACGAAAATCTCAGGCCCTCACTCAGCACAGAGCCCTAACAAGGCTGCTGACTAGCAAGAGCCAAGCAAATTTAAACAATTTCCATAGCCCAAAGTAGCTCTGCTAGTTTCTCCTTTTGCCTGGAAGGCTCAGTCCTGCTGGGAGGCAAAGTTCTTAAAGGCAAAGTGAAGTGCGTGAGTCCCCAGGGATCAGGTGCTCCTCAGGCGTCAGCAGTGATATATCTGCAACATGTCTGAGCAGGTTCTCCACCAAGGGAAAGGGGCTCTTGTCATCCGAGCACTGGGAGGTGAGGAAGAAAGCAGCTCTGCTCTCATATGGACATAAAAAAAAAAAAAAAAGAAAAGAAAAGAAAGAAAGAAGAAAAAAGTCTCACAGGCAGCACCGAAGATATCAGATAGGCCAAGTCAGCCTGTTTACCTCTGCTGATGCGCTGCTTCTCTCCTGATAGGATCCCAGGGGTGTCGATGATGCTGATGCTGTCCAGGACTGGGTTGGGGAGCTGCGCACACATGAACCTGCACAAGAGCACAGCCAGGGAAGCTGTCAGGATAGGATCCTTACCGATCCCAATGCCAGAGAGGAGGGATCTGGGCCTCCTTCGCCCTCACCTTGGACTCTTGTTTTCTATCATCTTGATTTCCAGGATGGCCAGCAAAGCAGACAAATCTTGTTTGGGGGAGGGGTAGTATGGTAGATCTAGGACCTTGTACATTTTTTTTTTTTAATGTATTTGGTATAGGGTCTCACTATGCAGCTTGGACTCATAGTGATCTTCCTGTTTTCTGCCTTCCCAATACTGGGATTACAGGTGTGCACCACCAAGCCCGGCCTTGGTGGCCATTTCAGCATGTCTGGGGGCAGGTCAGTATAGCATATGGCGCTGGGGATCGAACCTGGTCCCTGCGCTTGCCTAAGCAAGTGTTTAGTTCGCTGAGCTATCTCACCAGCCCAGGCCGCATACATGTTAAGCACATACTTACCACCACGCGACACCTGCAGGCCTATAATCACACCCTCTTCCACTGCAAACGTAGCCAGAGGTCGGTCTCGAGAGGGCCCACAGCAGTGCCTCTCTCACGCTTGTTTTCCCTCCAGAGTTCAAGAGTTCAATTTCCAAGTTGCTGACTTGTTAGTGAAAGTTGGGTAAGCCTAGGCTACCAATCAATTCAGAAGGGAAACAGCAGCCTGACATTGGGACCTCATAACTCCACTAGAGAATTTCCAGCCATTTGGCTGAATTCCTACACACCAAAGAGAGATGGCCTCATCCTACATCCCTTTGACCCAGCTGCTTTAGTGAAGGGGCTGCAATGGGCCATTGGTAAAAGCTGGGGGCACCACATAGGCTGGATGATGGCAGAGAAGGAAGTACAGATAGACCATTCTCTGAAAGTGGAAGCTGGTGGAGAGAACAAAGCTGCAGACAGGCCTGAACCTGGGGGGAGGGGTGCTTGGCTATGCTGCCTGCGGGCCTCCATTCCACAGGGCTCTCAGAGGAGCCCAGAACAGCATGAGGCTGTCTCAACTGAGAGCAGTGATTCTTACTGAACACAGAAAAGGATACTTTAAAAACTTCTCTGAAAAAGGTATTATGAGAAAAGGAAATATGGACCCACTGTCTGTAGGATGCAGGCTCAATGCTGCCCCTCTGAGCCAGCCAAATAGCTCAGTGGATTAAAGCACCTGCAAGCAGGCGCAGGGGCCGGGGGTTCAATCTTGGGGGCCTGCCATGTGGGCCCCATCCCAGGGCACAATGAGACAGAGACTGGGCAAGGTGGCATGCGCCTTTAATCCCAGCTCTTGGGAGGGCTGTAAACAGACAGACCACTATAGTGGGATCTACTAGTGAGACTCTGAACACCCTGTAGACCCTTCCCTAAAATCGAAAAAAAAAAAAAAAAAAAAAAAAGAGAAGCTGCCCTTCCATGATGGGGAGATCTGGGCCTGATTAGCCTATCCTGTGGCCCCAGCCCCCAAGTGATCAGTGGCCCACAGACTGGGGTCAGCAGGGCAGCATGAGAAGTGCTCCCCACAAACGCAACAAAGCAGAACAAGCTGACCTGCAGAACAAGCAAACTTTGGACCTCATCCTCACCAGCCCAGCCCCAGAGCACGCCTGCCCAGGGTCACAGCGAGCCCAAGCTAGAGTTCCTGCACAGGAAGGGACTCACCATGGACGATGAAACAAGCAAAGCAGTGGAAGCAGAAGTGGTTCAGAGAAATAACATACATAAAAATGTCCCATAAGGGGGGACTGATGAGCAAGGGAATGTTTGCAGATCGCAGGGACAGGATGCTTTGCCATGCCCAGGGAGTATGACAGGCAGTCCAGATGCCTTGAACCTCATTCCATCTCCATCTTGTTCCACAAGTGGGAGGGCTGGTTCCCCAGAGAACTGGGCTCAGGACTGCCTGACCATGCCCTACCTCACACTCTGCTCTGAGTGCATTCCTACAGCAACCACTCAGAGGAAAAAGGCTCGAAGGTCAAGTTCATGACTCAACGGGTCTCTTTAAGAGCTGGGAGAGGCTCTATCAGCCACAGAAAAGCCTCTTGTTGTGCCCTCTCTGGCAGGCGGCACCCTGTGCACCACACATCCTGACACAGCTTGGGCCCATGCTCTGGCTGGTAAGGCCCCCTTGGTAAAGCTGTCAGTGATCAAGGAACCCTCCAAGTGTGGGTGAGATGGTGGCAAGGAAGATATGAAAGCGTGTTTGTGGAACTGGTAGTCCACATGTCATCAAGGTGACTATCTCTGACCCAAGGTTCCCAAGCTGTCCTCTTTCCAAGCAGAGGCAGCAGTGAATGCTGGCTTAACTTAATGGGTGACCTTGATACATCAGCTGGGCCCTCTGAGCCTCAGGAAACTGATCAGGTGGGGTTGCTGAGATGATATCTAAGATTCTCCCAACTCTGAAACTCTAGGCTTCCAAAGGCAGAAAATGGGTCATGTGTTGTTTCTCCTTTCAAAAAAGACTGAAGACCTATGTACAACATCAAAACAGCCACCCTTCCTGTGACTCCCAACATTCTGCCCGGGAGCAAAGACTTACAGAGTGGCCCTTCCAGCGTAGCTGCCCAGCTTCTCACATGAATGAAGGGCAGCCCCACCTACAAGTTCAGCCTGTATTCAGGCAGATATTAAGCTAGGGCCAGGGAGATAGCTCAGTAGAATAAGTGCTTGCTTGGCAAGCACAAGGGCATGAGTACAATACCCGGTTCCGCCAAAAAAGAAAGAAAAGAAAGAAGAAAGAAGAAAAGATACTAAGCTAAAATACATGTACAGTACCTTAGAGAATAACTAAAAGGACCAGCCTTTGCAAAGCCTCAGCCCAAAGGGCCCTGACAGTGAACACCATCAGCACAATAAAATAGAAAGATAGCCTAAGAAGGCTGGAATAGGCAAAGACACTAAATGTCAGGGACGCAGGCAGGCCTGGCCCCAACTGGCTGGGCGCAGCAGCCTGCTTGTGCACTGGACAGTGTCTGGAAAGGAATGCGATCACCAGGGGCGGAGACTTGGCAGGCAGAGCTCAGATTCTTTCCTAGGCTCTTCCCCTGATACAGACTTCAGACTCCAAAAACATGTGGACTCAATGCCTGAAAGGGAGCAGGAGGGCATGGCCTGGGAAGGCCTGTGGTACCAGTCCTAGGGGTGGGGGCAGGATGCTTTGAGTTCCTTCAGAGAGAGGTTATGTTCTGCCACTGAGAGGCCACTGGTTTCATTCATAGCATCCTGAGGGCGTGTTGGAGGACTGCTCTAATTAGGAGGAGGCAAGTCTCACCCATCTGACTGAGGAAACTCAGGTCCTGTGTGTTAAGGAAGCTTCTATTGATCTACAAAAAGGATATGGGGCTTAAAATTCATTTCAAGGCTCCCAGGGCCCTTGTCTCCTGAAGCTCCTACAGCACCACTGACCCATAAGAGCTGCCTTGGGGTCAAGTGTGTCCACTGCCATGTCTGTCCCCTGCCTGCAAGGGGCTGCCCCAAAGCCAGTCGGCCACAGCAGACCATCCTTGTCCCTCCTACACATAACCACCTGCTTCAAGCAACTGAGCGGGAATACACCACACCAGAAGGCATCGGATTTTCTTAGGATACTTAAGAAACAGATTCCTGTGGGGGTTGATCTGAATGAATTAGGTGCATCTAGTCTAGAGAAGGAGGTGGAGACCAAGAACAGGAGGGCAGTAACAGAACAGGAGGCTCAGCTTCCTGAATGAATCTCCTGGTTCTGCGCAGGGAGACCGGGTTCTGCGAGAGTTTGGGAGTTAAACTGATAACTGGGAAGACAGGGGGGTCAACAGACTCCTGAGGAACCACGATGGCCACTCTCAGCCCCTCAGGTGGGTTGGAAAAGATTTTCCCCGAGTGGCACGGCAGGGACCCTGTCCTTGGGAGTGGTCACCCACGGTCTGGCTGAGAACTCAGAGACAAAGGAGTAGGGTCGACGGCCGAAAGAGGGTCGCGCCCTGAGTGTGGGGTCCTGTCCTGATAGGCCCTCGCGCTTCAGGGGTTAAGAGTGGGTACCTGTTGAGAAAGGCATTGCCGAAGGCGTTGAGCTTGCGGAAAGGGCGCCGCGGATCGACTACGAGCGCATTGCCCGGCACCACGCCCTCAGTGGGACCGTGCATGACCGCGATGAAGGAGTCGGTGGTGGGCTCGGGCCCGATGCGCATTCCGGGAAAGTCCTGCTCGATCAGGTGCCGGATGAAGGTGGTCTTGCCCGTGCTGTACTGGCCTACAAGAAGCACCATGGGCTTGTTGTCGAAGTCAGCATCCTCCAGCGCGGGCGAGTGGAACTCATGGAAGCGGTAGTGCTCCTCCAGGGGCAGCAGCTTCTGCGCGTACAGCTGCCGCAGCCCTTCGGCCACGGTCTGGAAGAGCTCCGGCTCCTTCTTGCGGCGGGCATCCTTGCTCACCCAGCTAAACATGCTGCTGTAGACAGGGCTGGCGGCTCCTGCGGGGCAATGGGGCAACTAAGCGCGGGGCAGAGAACGGGCCCGCCGGCCAGCTGAAGGCAGCGGGGGGCTGAGGCGGCGGGGCCGGGGGCGGGGAGCTGCCCGCACTGCGCAAGCGCACTTCACAGTTCACGGAGGCGCCCTCTGCCGAGTGGAGCGCGCGCTTTGCCCCGCGCCCTTTATAGGATCGAGTTGTGCTGGGCGCCGCCGCCGCCTGACTCGCGTAGAAGGGGAGGTAGAGGGAGGAGCCCTTACCGGCACCGCCCCCAGTTGCGTGCCACGTTCTCCTCTTCCCCGGCCTCCATTGGCTGACTTAAAATCTCGCGAGGCCTTGAGTGCGGTGCCGTGGCAACCATACTTGTTTTGCCCCGCCTACTGTGTTGTGGCTTTCGGAATTACTTCGGTTGGAAAGCCCGGGAATCAGGCGCGAGAAGCTTCTGGGCCCGCACTCCTTCCAGCACCAGTGGCCCCTCAAGTTCCGCACCCCGTCGGCGCGCCCCACCCAAGTGCCTCCTTCGGAATCCCCAGAAGCGTCGCGGGATCCCTGGAGTCCCGGCGCCCCCTCCTCGGGTCGGTTTCCCGGACACACCCCCATCTCATTTTATCTGTTCTGGGGAAGGTGAGCAAAGGAAAGAAGTAATGTAAGAAGCAGAGAGAGTAGAGAGAATAAGGATGGGGAGTGACCGAGGGGGAAAAAACGGGGCCGCAAGAGTGCGATGGGGAAAGACGCGCGAGAAGCTAGCCTCACCTCAGGCCGGTGGGGCTGGGACTGGAGATGGACACAGCAGTAGAGGACTCAAGTACGAGACCTGTAGGGAGAAGACAAGGCGGCCCTGAAAGGCTAGAACTGTGGCAGGACGGGAGAGGGTAAAGAAGTTGGCCACTTGAGTTTTGAGGAAGTGAAATCGGAAATTCCCTATGTGGAGCAGAGGGGAAATGTGGGGCAACAATGAAATCTTGCGGGGACTTGGGGAGAATTAAAAAGCCCAAATGCTTCCGCTTTCCTGTCAGGGACACCACCAGTTACCATCTTTACTTCAACTTGTGTGCCCTCCCTTCCCCTCTTACCTCTTCCTGGCTGTTCCATTGGTCTCAGGTCCTGCCATCCCTAGCCCACCTAGACCCACTTAACTGTCCAGATGGGTGAGAAGCCTTAGTGAGTGATGTCAGAGTTATGGGGGCTGTGATTGTTATGTAACCAGTGTTAGGCCACCTAAATGTGGTGAAGGGCCTGAGGACTATTGGAGAGGTCTAAAGTGAACATGGGGAGCTGGTGGGGGTGGCACACTTGTCAGTTCTACTTACTTAGGAGACATAGACAGGAGGATCACCCCACAAATTGGAGACCAGCATGGGCGACACAGTGAGCCTCCACACCCTCAGCCCCAAATAAATAGCCAGACATGATAGCTCACATCTGTAACTGAAGCAACTCAAGAGTTTGAGGCAGGAGGATTGAAAGTTTGAGGCCAGCCTAAGCAATTTCGTGAGACCCTGCCTCAAAAGAATCTAGGGATGTAACTCAAGTGGAGCTCTCTAATTCCATCTTTGGTATTAGGAGGGAATAAAAACAGGCATAGCTTTGGGGTAGAGCATTTGTCTAGACTAATGAGGTGTCGGGCTCAATTCCTAGTACCAAAAACTATGAAACAAAACCCCCAACCAACAAAACGATTTATTGAGCTGGATGTATAGATCACAGATAAATGCTCACTGAGCATGCCTAAGGCTTTGGGTTTAGTTCACAGCATTGAAAATAAAGTGGCTGAGTGTGGTGACACCTATAATTCTAGCGCTGGGGAGGCTGAGGCAGGAGGATCATGAATTTGAGGCTAGTCTGGGCTACACAGCATTGTTCAAGCTAGCCTTGAACTCACTATGTAGCCTAGCCTGGCCTCAAACTCAAAGCAATGCTCCTGCCTCAGCCTCTCAAATGCTAGGATTACAAGTGCTACACCCAGCATATTGATGTTCTTGGGTGGGGTTGTCATCAGAGGCTGTGTGCCAACTGGTGACCCAGAACCTCCGGTGGGCCCAGTCCAGACTTCCTGAGTTAGCCTTGAAGCCAAAAGACTTGTCTCCTTTATAGAAGAGATGAAGGATCCTCCCCGGAGATGTCATTTCTGGGTTGGTCCAGGAAAGAGCCTGAGGCAGAGGGTTCTAAATGAGGTAGTTGTTCAGTTGTGTGAATGGCTATGCCAAGTTCTGTCCCCAGCAATGCTCACATTGACCCACCATGGTGGTTACATCTCCCCAGAGCCTTGTATACTGGGAAAACCTGGCTAAAGAAAACTGAAAACATAATGTTCCTGGGTTATTTATAAATGAAACCAGGACCCTGTTCTTCATGTGCACTCTTGACTTTGTTCTCCGAGGAGCTCAAAGGCCTGGAAGAAGGGTTTCCCTCCCTCCCTGATGAGAGTCTCTAGGGGCTGGGAATTCGTTCCCCCAGTTACCCACAGTTGGGCCACTTCCTTATCTTGCAATGTCCCAAATTATGAAAATGACCTTTCCTTTGTGTTTCTTCCCCACTTGCTGTTTATTGGAAAGTTTTATCAAATGTAAATGAAGCATTTTACTTTTGGTTCTGCTGCTGCCATTTCACTGTTGCCTGGCTCCTGGACCGACTGGGTTTTATTTCAGAAACTGCCCACCTGGGCTATAGAGATAGTTTGGCGGTGTAAGTGCCTGCCTGGCAAGCGCAAGGACCTGTGTTTGATCCCTGGTACTTCATGCTGTGCCAGCCCTGGAACCCAGGCACGCTGTGTGGACCCTGAAACGGCATGGTGTTGCATGCCTGTAATCCCAGCGCTGTGGAGGCTGAGACAGGAGGATCACAAATCCCAGCCGTGTAGTGAGACCCTGTAAAGAACATGCCAAGCGGTAGAAAAAAAGAAAGAAACTGTCCATACTCACCCTCAGCAATTTCCTCTTCCATTAGCACACACTTCTGTACCATGAAGCTTGCTGTCTCTCCTCAGAGCGAGCCCCTGGCCAGGAGAAAAAGATCTCTTGCCTCCTTGCCCTCCCACCAAGAAATCCATGTGGTTCCCTAGGAGCTAGGTCCAGGGGCATGTCTACAACGTCCCTAACGACAACTTAAAAAAAAAGGAGTTTTTCTCCAAATATGGAGAAGAATCAGGCTGGGAAAACCCAAAAAACACATTTCTCCCCCTAGAGAAGTGACTGCTCATTCTTTCCACAGAGAAAGTTTGTGTATAAGATTGAGTTTTTGTTCTTGTTGTCATGACAAAATTTGGCCAGTACATCAGCTTTGCCAAAACAAGGTAAAGAACCAGGGAGGTAGCTGGGCATGGTGGTGCACACCTGTAATATGTATGCTTCCTGCCTCACAAGTGCAGGTTCCCACTACCACAGAAATAAATAAAAATGCAGATAGTATGTGTGCTTCCACTCTGTGGGGCCAAGCCAGGAGGCTCACAAGTTCAAGCCCAGCTTGAGTAACCAAGCAATTTCGTGAGACCCTGTCTCAGAACAATTTTAAAAGTGCTGGAGGAGGGTCCTTTTAATCCAGCACTTAGGAAGCTGGGGCAGGAGGGTCTAGGAGGCTGAGACTGGAGGCTTGCCACTGGGTTCCTATTGTCAGCAACCTGCTTGAAGCAGCCTAATCTGAGAGAAAGAAGCTAGACCTACAGAATCTGACCACTTGAAGCTGTGAGGTGGAGCAGGTGACAAAGATGGTTTCAAACCTCTTTCCCAGGCACAGACCAGAGAGGCCCCGGGAAGCACAGGAGCCCTCTGGGTCCCAGGTGACAGGTATGCTTGTTTCCCTGGGCAATATGTATGCATGGAGCTACAGAGACCTCTGAACACTCTTTTAAGAGGACTACAGTTTGGGTGCTAGGCTAGCCTTAGTGTTTATGTCTAGATGTCCCCCTAGAATCAAAAGCAGGAGGGAGGTGATTTGATCCTGGGGCCCACAGCTGACTTGCTGTTAAAGGTGGAGTCCGGTCAGAAGAGGCGGGTCACTGGTGTGTGGCCCAGAAGGGTTTATCTTGTTGCATAGCTCCTTGATTCTCTCTCTGCTCTCTGGATACCTCAACGTGAGCAATTTCTTTTTCATCATGCCCTTTGCCTTCCCATCCTGCCCTGGAGCCATCAGACGATGGGCTGAGCTTGTGTAAACTGAACCAAAATAAATCTTTCCTCCTTTAAAGGTGGTGCATGCTTGTAATCCCAGTACTCTAGAGGCTGAGGCAGGAGGATTGTCATGAATTCAAGGCCAGCCTGGATCTACCTAGGGAGACTGTCACAACCCTACCCCCTAAAATTCTGTACAGTGATAACATCAGAGAGACTTGGCAGGGACTGGGTACACCTTGCCCTGCATGGATGAAATGTGACCCAAATATCTCCCAGCCTCAGCAGCCTAACAGGACAAGTGAGGCACAGCTGCACCTCCCTGAGTAACCATGGTCTGAGCCCCATGGTCTGAGTAACCCATGTCCTCACCAGGTACTTAGGGGGGTAGTTCTCGAAGAGTGCAAAGTCAGGTTTGCCCTGACCTGCTCCAGCTGTGTGTCCCTCCCCATTGCCTGTCCCAGGTGGCTGCTCTGAGCCTCAGCGTGGGCCTCCCAGGCCGACAGCAGGAGAGGAACCCTGTCTCCAGCCATGTGTCCTGCTCAGCATCACATCAGGGCCCAGATCATCTTCAGACCCTGCCACTCACACCCATGCCTCAGTGGGGCCAGACCTTGGGAGCCCACACCCCACCAGGCCCCTCTTCTGACTTGACATCCTCCCCTCCAACCCAAGTTTCCACGCAGGTCATTTGGCCTGCCTGGTCCCTGAGCAGCCCAACTGCTGTTGTCTCACATTGGCCTCTCAGTCCAGTATGTCCTGCACTTCCCTGAAGTGCACAAGTTGCTGAGGGCTCCTCTGAAAGCGTACCAGAAGACAGGCCTCCACCCAGGCTCATGGCTGCCCAAGTTCTGTGGTTGCTCCCAGAACAACAAGCAGGGGATCCCCAAGGGCTCTGGGATAGAACCAAACCTCTTTGTCCTGCTCCTTCAGCTGGGTCCCTGCCCTTTCAGTAACCTCCCACGAAAACACTGCACTGGCCTTTTGGTTACTGTGATAGGCAGCATTGCAGGATGTCCCCACACTGCCCTCACCCTAGGGTACACATTGGGAACAGCCCTAGTCCTGTGAGTGAGGGGGAGCAGGTTCTGTGGTGGGTTGTATTGGACACACAGCTGCCCTTACACATGAGGTTGTGCCCCTTGGCTGAGCTTACCTGAGTTTCTTAAAAGTGGAGCATTCTGTGGGGCTTGGGAAAGCACATTTATAATCCTAGCATACAGGAAGGGAAGACAGGAGGATGGTATTCAAGTCCAGCCTGGGCAACTTAGCAACTGAGACCCTCTATTAAAAGGAAAATAGAATTAGGCATAGTGGTGCATACCTGTAACATCAGCACTTGGGAGGCTGAGGCAGGAGGATGGTTGAGAGTTTGAGACCAGCCTGTTTTACAAAGTGAGCTCAAGGCCAGGCTGAATTGCATAGAGAGACCCTGTCTAAAAATAACAAGAAGAAAGAAAAGAAAAGGAAGACGAAAGGTCTGGGTGGGGAAAGTTTTTCCAAACTAGCTGGTTGCAGAAAAGAAAGTCAGATATTAAAGATATTGCCAGGAAAATAGCTCAGTAGAACAAGCACTTGGCTGGGAAGTACAGGGTCCTGAGTTCAATCCCTGGTACTGCAAAAACAAACAAAAAAACCTATTCAAAAAAGGGGGGCAGGGAGATGCCTCAGTGGAATAAGTGCTTGCCTGGCAAGCGCAGGGGCCTGAGTTCAATCACTGGTTTCGCAAAAAAAAAGAAAAAAACAGAAAATAAAAGAATAGAAAGAAACTAAAAGTACTGGATGTAAGGTGTCATTGTTGAGCTGGGGAAAGAGGAAGCCACCTAGAAAGGCACATGGAGCCTCTAGGAGCTGAAAGGGGGCACCTGGCATCTGTCCACCAAGGACACAGGCATCTAGTTCTTAAGGCTGCGAGGAAGCTGTGAGCTTTGAAGCACATTGTGCCCTGGCTCCTCCGTGTAGGCCCAGCCTCTTGATCCCTGGATTTCCACCTTGCTGGTGCTAAGTAGAGCTTG